AGAAATACTTAAATATAATAGTTTCATTGTTAGCCTCCCTTTATGTGCTAGCAAGCTAGGTAAGTTTGGCATCATAGTCTCAATTTTTTTGGCTATATCTGTATTGCCTTAATTTCTCCTTAAAATGCCTTTAGTGCCAAACTCCTCCAACCACAGGTTCCTTGGCTCTTGGAAAGAATATGACACCTACTCCAAATCCAAGTAACAGATTGAGCTAGCATCATGAGACATTAATTACTATAAGCATGCTTTGGCATTCTCATAAGGGCTTCTATGTAAGCCTCAAGAAAAGGACCAGTCAGAGCAGCCTTCCTATATTAAGTACAGCCTGCATTGCATAACCTCTTCAGGCCCAAGCTAATGTTGCCTTGCTTGCCTCCAGATCATCAGGGAGCCAATCTACTCTGACTACTGTCCATGTCCTCAGTTTTTACTTCCTTCTTCCTGTCTTTCTCAAGAAAACAGAAAAAACTGCACCCAAAAATCAGTCCTAGAAACCTCAGCCTCTGGCTTACTCCATGTGGCTCACAACGTTTCAGACTTACGACCTCTATTAAATTTCCTTGCTTTATTTGCTATCCTGATGTCCTGGGTTGTAAGATAAGCTTGTATTCTATTTGCCATCTGTTGAAGGCAAACCTGTTGGGCAGGTTTTGTTATTTTTTCCAAGAACCGGTTTTGCTCCTAAGAGGTAATGGTTTGTTAGTGGGCCATTGACTGATTCAATGCAGGGCTGGTAACATAACACCATCCTATTGTGAGATGTTCCACCCAGAGGGGGAAGCCAAGCACTCTATTATTGTTTAAAGGGGTAGCTTTTTGGGGAGACGAGGCAGCTCTCTGGGCGGGACTCCGAGAGAAGCAGCTCTCTCTCTCTCTCTTCTTCGCGGGATCTCGCGGCGAAACAGCCGGTGAGGCGGCGGCGGCGGAGCTCGGAGGCAACCCCGGCGCAGAGGAAGACCGTCCCCACTGCCACCAGATCTTCAGAGGAAAACTATACCCTTCAAAAGATCACCACTGCAGCTGCAGTTCATCATCCACTGCAAGGGGAGCAATCACCCAGCAGGACTGATACTGGCACCCCGAATCCTCAGGTTCTGGATTTTTCCACTGGTTTTGTTTGTACCGATTGCATTTGCCTTTTTAAATTGTTGTCTAGTTTTCTCCTAGTAAAGAATTGTTACTCCCATTCCCATATCTTTGCCTGAGAGCCTTTTGATTTAAAACTCCTAGTAATTCAGAGGGAGGGGGTTTACCTTCTCCATTGCACAGGAGGCTTTAGCCCTCCTTCGCAGATTCCTGTCTTGTCGAACCAAGACATCTGAAAAGGACTGTTAAGTCCCAAATTAATTCTCTGATAGTCACATTTCTGTGTGCAGAAATGCAAGCCAGCCTTTACCCACTTTATCTCCCACTGATCAGTTTATGCTGTGTCTAATAGGAACGGACAAGTTTCTATTAGGCAAGTGGGGAACAATGAAGAAAGGATGGAATTAAACATGCTTATGTCACAAAGCATAAGTCAGAAAATTCAGAAAGTCAAGGCTGTTTTTAAGGTGTCTCTACTAAGCATCTCAAAACTGGGGTATGAACTTAGAGAAAGGCTCAATTTGAGATGGAGACAGGTAATACTAGATGTCTCTATGTGTTACTGCTCCCACAGACAGAGGAACACTTCAACACAGCCAAGAAGTCCCAAGGGAGTGACTTGGTTGACCAGCAGGAGGCTAAGACAGGGATAATTTTTCCTGCTGAAGAACACAGATCCCTCAAGTTCTGTGCTACACTTGCCAAACCTCTAAAATTCTATTTAAACAGTCAAGTTAGAAAAAACTGCCTACAAAAGAATGGATTGTTATACCTGACAAGGTGTATCTGACTTTAAAAGTAAATGGAAGCTGTGGGGTTTCTTTGTCTGCAAATAATTTAAGTCCTGCATACAGATTCAGGACTCTATAACCAGGGTAGGAAATGTTACCACAGGGATTTATAACTACCCACACAGAAAGTCAATGACATAATTGATTTAGAATTCAGAAGTTCATGGTTGTTTGCCCTAAGTTTCATCCACATGCTTACAAGTCTATGTCACTTGAATCAAGCACTTTCTACTCACAGCATGCTGTCACTTTTTTAATGTTATACTCAAATGAGAGGAACCATACTTGAATCACTGTCTCAGCTTCAGCATATAAATCTGACTCATAGGCCTGTAAGCCATTTAATTTTGAAAGAGCATAGGAAAATGAAAAACAGCTTTGCAATTTTGTACTGGGACAGGTCTATCATTATGGCTACAAAACACTGGTACTGCCAGGCATACAGCACAGAAATTTAGAAAAAAAATTAGGTTAAAGGATGGCACAATTGCATCCTCAAAGGAGCTTCAAAATTGAATGAAATGCAGCTGCTGAACGGTTGGACTATGCACCTATTTAGTGTCTAGATGAGTCAAGGAAGAATTGCCACCTGCTCCTGCTCCAGGACAGGATTCTGGTTATTTTTGCTCTGGTATTCAGGAACAACATGGGCTCCAAAAAAAAATCAATAAACTAGCCTACCTATTGCTGAAAATAGGTGGCCAACTTATTTATGCCCACAGCTGAAGAGCAGTAATCTCATCAGATGTTCTTATTCTATGCACTGAGAACCTCTGAGAGGCCCTAGACACAACCAGCAATTGATTCCCACCATTTTGGCTATGCTGTGAGACATAGAAGGGCTACTAAGAATCCAGTGCTGAAAGTAAAACAGCGACAGCAACAAGACAGAGTACCTGGGTAGTCCTACAAGAAGCACTCCACTCTATCCAGAGCTACCTGGAGCTCCCAGTGTCTACATTTTCCTGAGTTTTCAAGTCATCCCTTGCTAGGACATGTCAGCACCATAAGGTTAACAAAGGCATTGAAGGGCGGTGGTAGGTGTGGTTTTTCCTGCTGGATCTCAGGGTACCACGTTCGCTCATTGCTGTGAACAAATAAATTGTTGCTCAGTCAGAATTGCTAGAAAGGTCTGGGAAAAACGTGCTACAAGTCATAAAAGTGCTGTGCCCAGCGATATATGCACAGTGTGTGGTGTAGATGTGCCTGGCAGACCTTGAGCATGGATGGTCATGACCTCCATTGGGCCGTGGACTCCCTAGACCCACTTCCCCAGGGAAGTGATTGAAGCACCCAGCTTAACACAGCTTCAGAAGTGTTATGAACAAAACAGCCTGGCTGGGACACTTGGCTCGAACTAAGTACTGACATTGAAATGTTAATTAGCTAATCGCTCCTGGGAATCACCTACACCCCCACCCAAACTAGGACTAGGATGCAAAATAAGCCAGTGGAATCATGGGAGGGGGTTTTGGGGATGAAAAACACCCCAAAATGAAAAAGAGGGGCACAGTAGAGGGGGCTGGATGGGTGTGTTGGTTGGGGAAAAGGGAACCCCATCCCTAGTCTGTGTTTAACTTGTCACTATAACCTGCAGAGGACCAGATTGGACTGGGCTGTGGGAAGCAGGCACAAAGAATGGAACACTCTACCTGGTGTTACCAGGAGGAAAGGAGAGGGATAGCTACTGCTGGATCTCGGCAGCAGGCTCTGCACATCCCCCCTCCTATGGCTACCAGTGTGCCAAGAGGAAAGGAGAGAGGACGATCTGCTGATCGGGACTTCAGCTACAGACTGGACACCTTTTCACCTCCGGCTACCAGCGTGCCTCGGAGACTCCGGCTACCAGCGTGCCTCGGAGACTCCAGGGACAGACTCTGCAGCCTTCTCGCCCTTCGGCTACCAGAAGAAGCTACACCACTTCCCCTGCCGAGCTGACTTTTTAATAAAGAGCTGAACACTAATAAAGGAATAAAACCTGTTCATTTCAAGAAGTGTTTGGACACTGCTCTCACGCACATGGTGTGACTCTCAGTCCTGTGCAGGGCCAGGAGATGGACATACCAAACCCCTTCAAATATCCTTACAGCATCCCTGACACGCACAGGGTCCTAGCCTGATCTTCACAAGGGCATTAAAGCTGCCACTTGCAGCGCAGTCCAGGCGCTTTGCAAACTAAACCACCAAACCCGTCCAACTCCTGGGCACCTCTGCGTGACCCCCAGGCACCCGCAGCCCGCCCCGCCGGCGCCGGCGGTCCCGCGGCGGCCTGCCCGCCCCTTCCGGCGCGGCTCGGAAGCGGCGGGGCGGGCGGCCGGGACGCCGCGGCGGGGGCGCTGCGCGGGCGGGCGGCGGGGCCGCTGCGCCGGGGGCTCCGCGGGACAGGCCGGAGGTACCGGCGCTCGGCGGAGCCACGGCCGGGGAGGGGGCGGCGGGACGGGGCCGGGCGGGGCGGGGCGCGGAGGGAAGGGAAGGGACGCGGGGGCCCGGCCTGCGCCCTTGGCTCTTGCCGGCCCGGCCCGGCCCTTCCCGGCCGCTGCTGCCGTCGGGGCCGCGCCGCTCGCTCTCAGCCCGGCGGGGCCGCGGAGGGGGTGGCAGCAATTCTCTTTATTTCTTGATTGACAGCCTGCTATGAGTCAGTTTTAAGCCAAACAATGCTGGAAGACAGCGCTAGTGGAGGAATTGGCTATGGAATAGCACCTTCTCAAAAGAAAAACAAAAGAGCTGATGCAGTGTGTTAAACACTCTGCTTTTCATTCAGTGTGTTAGCCTCCTGTGCATCTGAGGATTGACATTTGGGATAGCCTAGGTAGATCTCTGCAATGGAGAAAACTATATGTACATTTACATGCTTATTGCTTTACTATTGAATAAAACTAAGGTAAAATGATTGTGAAAAGTAGTAGTGGTCATTGGAGTGAGAACCTCCACACTAGCAGCGGATGGAACACTTGTTCCTACTCTTGGAGGAAACTGCTAATGACATTCAAGTAGAATTAAAAACCAAAAGTGTTGCATTTAAATAAATACCCATTTAGTTTCTCAATGGTATTTTTTTTCTCCTTGAATTTTTTGTTTTCAGTACCCCAGGTCTAACCATCAAATATGATTCTTTGCCAGCTACACAAAACTCCTTGAGTACTTCTTTTGCCATTTGGCCACATGGCTTCTACTACAATGGTAAGTTAGGATTTAGCTCATATAATTTCAAATCTTTTTGTTCTAGTCTGCTAGCTGTCTGCCTGATGAGGAGAATGCTATTAATATTGGACATTTTATTTTAAAATATTGTTTTGCTTGCTATTGCTGAATTCTGAGATTTCCTTGTTTAGGAGTGTCTTTCTTCATAGCTTGTGAACACTTCTAAACACTTACTCACTGGCCAGTGCAGCATAGGAATTGCCATATCAAGCTAGTGGTGTTTTCAGTCATGAGTGCTCGTAGGAAGTTGGGTGTATATTAATCCTGCTTCTACATAGTAGTCTTGTATTCACAGGTGCTAATATTGCCATGGATTTTTACCTAATGTTAAACAGTCAGTGAATTGAATATTTGAAATCATACCTAGACATAGGCATTGTAGATGTATCTGCTAGATATATTCTCTTATATAGAAAGCTTCAGTATTTTGACATTTTCATAAAAGCACCTAGGCACTTGAAAATTAAAGTGTTCTGTCGTGGCAGGTTCTACCTCACAGTAGTATGGTAAGTAGGTGGGGGGATTTTCATGAACAGGTAAGAAATTTTGTTTTAGGTATAGTATATGAATGTTTTTGTTGTATATTTCTTTGTTGTTCTTCTGTTGTTGTGTAGTATGGGTTTCTTCACTGGATTCTATTGTAGTAAAACAATATCTATGTAATAACTGGCACTACCTTGGATTGGACATGGTTTGTGTGTCTTCTATTTCTTGAGGCTCAAGTAGAGGTGTTTGCTTTTAGGAGCAGCTGATAGGGATGGTTTAAACTGAGGGAATAGAACAAATGCATATTTGGGAAGAGGGACCTATTACAAGTATTCCTAAGCTTCACCAAATATTAGAGCTTGTCACAAGTACATTCCTAAGGATTTTATCCAGCTGCCACTGAAGTGAATGCATTGTTCCTCTGGACTTACCTGGAGATGAGTCACGCTCCTGACATTCTCCTACAACACTTTGGTTCTTAATAGTGTCCTCTTTTTTCCTCCCTACCCCTAATCAGTCTCATTGTCTGGTTCATTTAACAGCTGCACATTATTCCTGCACAAAGGAAGTCAGAGCTTAAGTGAGTGCCAGAGAAGGAACATTAGGAGCCAAGGAAGACTTTCTTGGGGTTTTTTTGACACTGGTGCTTGTTTATTCTGGTTTGAAATACTTGTCAAATTTTAGTCCAAGAACTCATAATTCTGATATGTGAAGTTGCAGGCTCTTTTTGAAATAGAAGTATGTCAACTGCATGTGTACTGAAGTAAAAAGCATAACAAAGAAGCTAAATTCATTAAAATAAATGGTAGAGTATACCATGCTATGGGATATTGAGAAGCTTTAGCAGATTTTGCTGTGTTTTGTGGGGGTTGGGCAGACTTCTAGCCTGCCTTGGAAAAAGTCTGTAATGGAAGCTGGTTTTGTTTCCTAGCCACCTAAGAGTATATAATAAGGAACACTTCTTAAATTGTATTATGTGCAGAAGTAATGTTCTGAGCACAAGATCTTTGTTTCTATTTTGTGAAAAATAACTGTACCTATACTTGGGCACTGGTACATAAAAGATAAATATTTTCTTCCTGGACATCTGTTCCAGGGATATTTTGGCCTATCCTTTCTGTTGAGTTAGTGACCAGCTTAACAAAAGAGATCAGGTTTTCTAGTTGTCATCTCTAATTGTTTTGGGTAGTGTTTGTTATTGCTTTTATTAGGTGTAATTTCCATTTTTACTTTTAATTCTAATTGCTTTTCATTGTTCTAATGCTTCATAATTTACCCAAGCATTGTGATGCAATTACATGAGATTTTAGCTAAGTTTAGTATGTGCCAAAGAATTTTTGAGCCCATCTTCTAATTATAAATTCGTATCAGTAGTGGTAGGGTTGTTGGGGTGCTTTTCATGTATGAGTATGTTAAAAAAAGTCATGTAATTTCTAAAAAAACCCTTTGTTATTGCAGCAACAAGCTTTAGAACTGGCATTGGATCGTGCCGAGGTAAGAAGCAGCTAATTTACTTGTTCATACATAATTTATTGATCTCAGAGTTATAAAAATAAAACAGCTATTTTTTAGTTTTCCTGAAGAGTGGTAGAAAACAACATTATGTAAATACATACATGTGTAATCACCTATGCGTGTAACACTGAGTTTGCTGAATTCTCACTAAAATTGCTGTTTCTTACCCATTGTACTGGAAACATCATCAAGTGTGATGGTGATAGACTGTGCAAGACTTGAGCTTTCCCCTTCTAAACCAGTGTGTGCTGTGAAATAAGTAGGGTTCTACAGAGACACCTTACAGAAATATATGATAAAATCCTGTTCTTGTTTTTTAAGGATAACCTAATGAGAATAAAGAGATAAGTGCCTTCACATTCATGTTCTTTAATGCTTGTCATCTGATATAACAGTTACCTTGAACCCTGTTAAGGGAAATGCACATTCCTGTAAGAGAACCTCCCTTCACATAAATTCTGAAAAAAGCTGTTAATTTAAATACTTCAAATAATAGACATTTGGAGAAACCTTGTTAGAATATAAATCACATTTACTGGATGATGCTATCTCTCTTACTCTTTTTTAATTCAAATGTATAATGTACATGAATTATATTTATATTGCACAGCTCTATAGAGAAAAAGAATGTAAATGCAAAAGGCAAAGGGAGAACTTCCTGAAATTATCATGTTGAAGAGTATTTGATTTGTAAATATTGTCAAGCCAGTATGCATAAACTTGTTGTACCTTAGTGTGTTAACCACATGAATTTCAGTAGTGGTAACTAAATACAGTAATGTTCTAGTGTTAGTTACTACTGTAATTACAAGATGTGAGTGTAGAATCAAGAACTTGCAGGGAACTGATGCCATAGGCATGAAATGCTGTCTTTGACAGCTAAATTGAGCTGTGTTCTTATTGATGGCTGTAACATAAACAGATTGTGTTTAGTGCACTTTTGGAACAGTCATGTACCATAACTGTTAATTACTTTCTGTATACATGGAACACTGTCTGGTAATGATCTGTGTGGTAACTAGAATTAAATTTCTTTGTAATGTATGCTGGTTTCTTGTTTACTTTTCTCTTTTAGTATATCATTGAAAGCGCCCGCCAGAGACCTCCCAAAAGAAAATATTTATCAAGTGGAAGGTACTGAGAGTTTCAATATTTCGTTTTTTAATAGCATTTCTTTTATTTAATTTTGGTTACATATTGAGTCTTTTTAATTTCAGAAAATCTGTATTTCAAAAACTTTATGATTTGTATATTGAAGAATGTGAAAAAGAGCCTGAGATAAAGGTAAGTGGAAATTGCTGGAAAGCTTTTCATTTCTGTCTAAACAGGCAGATTGAGAAAATACTTTGGTTTTAATTCCACTTATTTTCTTTGTTAAATGAAGTATAATCCCTTCTTACTGTAGTAGTCACCTAAAGATAAGAGTGTGTAATGTGAATAGTAAGGTCTAGTCTGGCTTAGTGAGCTGTTCATTCTGTCTTAATCCTGTGTCACTGAAGGGCACTTGTGTTAAAGTTTGGGGCCAGCATCAATGCCATGTGCATTGTTGTTATTATCACTGTTTCACAATCAATTGCTTAGCATGACTTTTGTGGGAAAAATGTGAATCATTCTTCAGACCCTGTAATTTTGTTGTAAATTCAGATTTATTTCTCCAAATGCTGGTAAACTAAGAAGTTCTGTGAAAAATTTTCATAATGTTAGCAAAGAGACTCAGACTTACCAGTGCTAAATATGAGGTGTAAAAGGCAAAAATTACTTGGCTAAACTCTGAATGTCAAATTGAACAAGAAGAGAAAGCTGTGGAAGCTGCTTTCAAGGAACTAAAATGAATGACAAGACAAATGAGCACTCAGGTTAACTCCCAGTTAATGGCTGTACCCAGTGATGAAATATGGTCTCCAACCAGAGGCTGTAAAATTATCTGAGGTTCAGAATTCATTGTCTCTTAAGTTCTAAGGAGATTTCAAATGTTTCAGTTTGTGGAATGTTTATCTCTGAAACACACCAAGTAATTATAAAAATGTGTTATACTTGGAAAAGATAGTTTTACAGTTCAATAAGGGAATAGTGTCTGCAGCTGCTAGATCAGATTTCAGCAAATAAGTGCAATTAAGAAAGCTTCCAAATGCTCCAATTCATTATTTTAATTCTGGAGAGAAATGCCTTCATCTGTTAGGAATATCTGAAATATTTTGTTGTTACCAAACAAGTTGTACTGGATTGATGATGTTCATAGAAATTATACAAATAATGGTGCACTGTAGATTTACAACATTTTAGCATAAGGTTATTCATATTAATTCTGTTGTTGGTGGGCTTCCAGTTCTAGGGTTTGTAATTTAAATTAATGGGATTTTTTCATAAATCTGTGTCTATAAACATGTGTGACAATACATAATATCTTTACTCTGCTGAATACAGTACAATTAAATTAACTGGGCTTGTTTAGATGTATAATTTGTCATTAATCTAAGTCACATTCTAGCAGTTGTTTTTATTTCTGCTAATTATTTCATAGTATTATGTTCATGAGAAATGTTTACCTTTAAAGCAGAAACTGAGACGAAATGTGAACTTACTTGAGAAGCTGGTTATGCAGGAGACGTTATCATGTCTGGTGGTAAACCTCTATCCAGGAAATGAGGGTTATTCACTGATGCTCAGGGGAAAAAATGGTTCAGGTAATATTTTTCTCTTGGATTTTTAAAAATATTCAGAATGCTATATAAACTTTTTAGAATGTGTTGTTGTTTACCGTTAACTGTTTCACTTCCAACATAATTCCAGGGTGTGGGATGGGAGAACAATCAGCTCTACTTGAACTAAAAATTTACATAAAGCTCTGAGCTGTTTATCTACAAACAAAATCTGTAGATAGGAGTCTTTTTGATAGCCTTCCTGTCTCTTATTTCCCCTTAGTTTCCGGAGCTGCATATCCAAGTTTCTCTCACTTCAGGTTCCTTCTGTCAAATTGTTTCTTTCACTGCTTCTCATGTCTAGATTTGCCTAGAGGCATTTTTGTTCTACTTTGGTGGCATTTTTATGCCATTTGTACTGCCATGGGCAATAAGATCATACATTGTATCACCTGGGAACAAAAGCTAGAACAGTAAGAGCTAACTAAAACTCTTAAGTACAGAAATGGATGTAAAATTAATACTATGCAAAAAAATGGTATGTGTGGATAGGTTTCTGCCAACACTGCTTTTTCCTTTGGCAAGTTTGTTTCAGATTTCTTCATGTGTGAACTTGACACACAAAGATAATGTGTTTTGTTTAAATTCAGATTCTGAGACCATTCGTTTGCCTTATGAAGAAGGAGAGCTGCTTGAATATTTGGATGCAGAGGAGCTACCACCTATTTTGGTTGATCTTTTGGAAAAATCTCAGGTTTGAATTTTAGTTTACAAAAAGAACTTGCGTATTGTACCCAGATAGACCTTAATTTTTTTGAGTGCTTCACATAGGTGATTGTAAACATAAGACACTTGTGCATATAAAACTGTAGCATTTAATGCCCCAAATAAATATTTTATTGATATGTAGGGAAAAAAAAAAGTACTTACTACTGAGGAGAAGAAGAGAGATTGCTGTGATTACAGCCGTGAAACATCTTCAACTCTGCTCTAGCAAAATTTCCTTTGTTCTTTGTCATTATGGAATGTTTGGCATGGGAATTTCTTACAACTGCATTGCTGGCATATGAAAACGCTGCATTTGAAGCTTGCGTTTTAGGTATGTCTAGGACAAACATGTCTATGCACATAGGAAAGACCGCTGGTCTGAAATCTTAGTCGTGAGTTTTATTCCTAGTTTCGCTGAATTTTATATATTATATAACAAACTTCTTTGTAGAGGCAGGGGAAGATTGGTAAATGTTTATTCAAAAGCTGGTGTTTTTCTTTCAACCAGGTTAATATTTTCCATTGTGGATGTGTCATAGCAGAAATACGTGACTATAGGCAGTCTGGTAACATGAAATCTCCAACATACCAAAGCAAGCACATTCTTTTGCGACCTACAATGCAGGTAAAGAGAAGCCTTAAGTAATTTCTCAGTGTCAGGGTAGTTCCTAGACTGGATAAGCACTGTTACTGAACATATATTATCAAATCCTACTATTCATAATTGCCATTATGTCTTTTTCCTCAGACTTTAATTTGTGACGTACATTCTATAACAAGTGACAACCACAAATGGACACAGGTAGGTTAGAGGTTATTTAAAAAATTTACAGTGATGTCATAAATATACAACAAAACAAAAACTTATTAAGATTTTTTATTTTTTTATTTGTTTAATATTTTTTTCAGTTTTTTCTAAGATAATGTCTACATGCATAAGTATATAGGAACTTGACTACTGTAAAAGTTTTCTTATTTTTATATTTATTAATAACTCTGTATATTACAGGAGGACAAACTCCTACTTGAGAGCCAACTTATTTTGGCTACAGCAGAGCCTTTGTGTCTTGACCCTTCAATAGCAGTGACCTGTACTACAAACAGGCTCCTGTACAACAAGCAGAAGATGAACACTCGCCCCATGAAACGGTAGTTTTCAGTATGAAATATGCTTTCAGAAAAAATTTAAGTAATGCTCTATGTGAAAATACAACTCCTCATATGTAATACCTGTAACTTAAAGAGAAATGTGTGAGAAACAGTCAAGAAATTACTTCTTATTTTTAAGTGCTCAATATTGTATTTTATTTCAGTTACTAGTAGATACTGTAATATGCTTATTTTTGTGTATCAAAGGAAAGTATATAAGTATTTTCTTAACATAATCAGTTATATTGCAGTTTAGATTCGGGGTTTTTTTTTGCATAGGTTTTGTGTAAGCAGAATCAGATGGCAGCTCAGTAATGTAAAATATATAAACAGATATGTTGCATATTGGTCTCTAATTTGTTAAAAGCTTCATATAAGTTTAATCCCGAATGACCAAATGAAAATAATTATTTGTATGTTTGTCATTCAGGATAAACAGAAGTGTAAGTGTATAGGAATCTTGGAAAAATTTAAAATAATGTGGTATGCACTATGTACAAAATGTTGAAATTATTTCACTTTTGTGCATAGTTGGGCCCTTCTTTATTTCCACAGAAGCTTGAAACATTTGTTCAACGTGTTTGTTCTATCACAAGAGTTGCATTCACTCTGTAAATAAGAAATGTATTAGTGGTCTGTCACAGTTACTGAAATATTTAAAACTAAATCTGCATTAAAATACTATGCTAGTACCAAACCAGTGGGAATTTCTAAAAAAATGTAAATCATTAATTTTATCAAGTTGTCCTTGAATTTAAAGCTTGGTGGTCGACAAATATTCCATTAGAAAAATAGGAAAAGGGATTAAATGAATGTCCAGAACAGCATTACTGAAACCATGAGTTTGTCATGAAAGAAAGACCAGAGGATAGTTACTGTCTTTATAACTTTATACTTACATAAGCAGGACAAGGATCGTTTGATGGAACTGAAACTATGATAATACACAAATATTTTAAGCTTGGCAGCATCTTAATTACTCATTGTGATGATGTACTGTAATTAGGCATTTAAAAAATAACCCCATCCTTAGTGCTGGAACAGATGGACAAAATACTGGTATATTTTATAAACATGGAATCATAATTTAGCGTTGTACAGTGTAATCCAGAAAAGCAGTTTTAAATTGGTATTTTAAAACTTACTAGTCTCCATGTAAGTAGCAGTTCCCTGCATATTTCTGATTTTGTACAAGGGGAAGTTCATGTTGATGGTTTTACAAGCTTAGGTGTCATTTTGCCATAGGTGCTTCAAAAGATACTCAAGGTCCTCTCTGAACAGACAGCAAGAAGTAGCTCACTACTCAACTCCACCTCAGCTCAGACTACTTGACTACTTACAGAAAAGGAAGGAGAGGAAAGCAGCCCAGCAGTATGACCTCAAAATTTCAAAAGCTGGAAATGTAAGTATTAATGTAATTAATTTTGAAAAATAATGTCATATACTTTAACTATTTAGTGAAAGGATTTAATATATTAATCCTGTTTTTTGTTTTCCAGTGTGTAGATATGTGGAAACAGAACCCTTGCTACTTGACTGCTCCTTCTGAAGTAGATGTAAGACTACCAATTGTTATGTATAATTAGCAATTACTAGAAATTGTATTCTATGAAGAAGTGTCTAAGAAGTAACCAGTATCAAAGAATGACCTTTTAAAAGAATAGGAGTGGCTTTAACATTTACAATTACTTTTCTGTGCCATAAGGTATAAACACAGGTTAAGCCACACTGTAATATATTGCAGTTGTAATAGAATAGTTTGGATGAAGTAACCAACACAAAGAAATTGTTAGCACTGTTCTTCTGTAGGCTTAATGAGCACGTCTGTTGTCTTATAGCATGATGAAAAACAGAAAAGCAAATGAGGTTTGTAGATTGTTTAAAAATGGGTCTCTTTTCATCTTGGTAGGAATTCCTGTCTTTCAATATGTTATGCTATGGACATTAATATTTCCAAAAGTTTTAAGTGTTATGCAGAGAATTCTAATTTAGAGTTGTTTTTTTTCACTCTGTGTGCATTTTTCTCTTGGGGGCGTTCATATTCTTGGTTTCTGGCACTGCCAAAATACATACTACTAGTGTACAGAAGGGGCTTGTAGAAAATCTGAGTTGGAAGGCACTACAAGGATCATCAGGTCCAACTCCTAGTCCTGCAGGATAGGACAAGCCCCAAAATCATATAATGTGTCTTATCCAAATGCTTCTTGAACTCTGTCAGGCTTGGTGCTGTGACCACTACCCTGGGGAGCCTGTTCCAGTGCCCAGCCACCCTCTGGGTGATAAACCTTTTCCTAATATCCAACCTGAACCTCCCCTTGCACAGCTTCAGGTCATCCCTGGGGTCCTGTCACTGTCACCATAGAGAAGAGGTCAGTGCCTTCCCCTCTTCCCCTCACAAGGAATTTGTAACTGCAGTGAGGCCTCCCATCAGTCTCCTCCAGGCTGAACAGACCAAGTGACCTCAGCCATTCCTCATACAGCTTCACTTCAAGGACCTTCATCATTGTTGTGGCTCTCCTTTGAACACTCTCTAGTAGCTTTATATCCTTCTTATATTGTGGAACCCAGAACTGCCCCCAGCACTCGAGGTGAGGTAGCCTCATTGCAGAGCAGGACAATCCCCTCCCTTGCCCAGCTGGCAATGCTGTGCCTGATGCACCCCAGGACATACCTGGATCTCCTGGCTGCCAAGGCACTGCTGACTCATATTTGACTTGCCACCAACCAGGACACCCAGGGCCTGTGCCACAAGTTTTCTCTACTATGCTGAGATTTTTTTAAAAGACTGTAGACTAGACAAGACTGTAGTTTTGGACATCATAGGGCTGCCAAGAACGCAGATAACACATGAAATGACAGCGTAAGTTTCTACAAAACAAACCCTTTTTTCACTTTAACTGTGTTGTACCTGACGTAATCAGAGGCTTTAGGAATTACTGTTACTGTGAAATTACTTATCCATTCCACATTGCAGGCAATGATTTCAGACTGTAGTCTGAAACCATGTTTCACTCTTAAGTTTAACATAGCAAATGTGGTATAAATAACACTATAAATGTAAAGTTCTGAAGGTTCTTCAATTACATTTCCTTGAAGAAACATGGGAGATTCTTTCTTTTCTCATCTCTCTGTTTGCTTTAAGGTGGAAAAATATGCCAAAGTGGAAAAGTCTATCAAGTCTGATGACTCACAACCAACTGTCTGGCCAGCACACGTGAGTAATTTAGATCTTTGGCCAAAGTTCACTGTCTCTAGTTAAAATGCCTTTTATTTCAACAAAATCAATGTAATGTGGAATAATCTTCCCTCCCCCAGTTTAATTAATCTTCCATGTGTTACAGAGACATGGGAAGATTACCAGAGAGACTTGTAATTTTATACAGTCAAGCAAGCATGTGATCAGTGATTTCCTCAGATTTTCCAGAAATACAAGGATAAGCAGCTTGTACTAAAGAAATTATCATAATTTACATGGAGCAGAACTCTGTACAACAAATTGCTTTCTTTACTCAGAAATTCAAAGGTTGATGAAAAAGAGCTTTATTAAAATAAAAATGTTACATTTTGAAAGAGATTAATATTAAATGCCTCTTACAAAAAAACTTTCTGCGATGATTAAGTTGAACCTTAACATTTTTGGCACAAGCTATGTGATTTGGTCAGAAGTAGTAATTTAATATAATCATTGATTAATTTGCATTAATAATAATTCATTGATTAGTTATGTGATTGAATCACATAATTATTTTTTTATAATTTTAGAGACAAGGTACTAGCTTTATTAACAACATGTATCATGATATTTTTGTAGTTGCCTGTTGGAAAAAAGTAATGCTTCACCATAGAACTTAATGTTCAGCTCCATTTTACTCTCAATGTTTTTTGCATTGTCATAATTCATATAAAACTGTTTCTATCTATATTTACCCAGTGTACATTTCTATATTTAACATGATTGTTTGGGGTTTGCAATAATTTTTTAAGACGTGATAAATGCTTTTCCTCTCATCCTGTTAATGTAACTTCTGGAATCACTTTCATTTTAAATAATGCACCCCTTCCTATAGAGTGTTACCTAAAGTTACTTATAGAATGTTTCTTACTCTGTATATGGAGTTGGTCTGCTTTACTTGCTGTTTCAGCTAAGGCTTGTTCAAGACTTACTAGGTCATTCTGTCTTTTTAGGAAATGAAGGATGATTATGTGTTTGAATGTGAAGTTGGTAATCAGGTTCAAAAAACAAAACTGACCATTTTTCAGTCTCTTGGCAATCCCTTGTACTATGGTAAAATTCAAACACTCAAAGGTGATGAGGAAAATGACAACCTATTAACTCCATCACAGTAAGTTGCATATTTTTTTTTAACTATGCTGTGATCAGTAGGTGGAGGAAAACAAACATTAATTGTCATTTTCAGTCACGCAAATACTCTACAGCTAGAAGTCCGAGTTAAGATTTTTTAACCAAAAAAAAAAACCCCAAACCAAAATATGTACAAGCAACAGTCATAATTCAAATGTACTTCTACATTAAATTAGTATGTTCTTTTACATTAAAGATACATTGGGGGAGAAATAAGACCACCAGCAAATCCAATCATGAAAACTGTGGAAACACTATGAGATGTTGTTGCACTCCTTTTTGGTGATACTCAGAATTTTGATTGTTCTCAAAAATTGCCTGGTACTATGAAAGTATGTGATGTGACTATATTCTGTTTACTCTTAGATCCAGTTGAACTAAATAAATGAAGAAAAACATGAGCTTCTAAGAAGCTTCATAATTTTGAATTGTTTGGAATATGCTGGTTTTGGCTGCGGTTCTACAAAGATTCTCTGTTCTCTGCTGTTTTTGTTCTAGATACCAGATTATTTGTGTGGAGGAATCCATGCAGCAGAGTAGAGCCTATAAATTTCACTAAGGCAAGGAGCAGTGAGACTGAGCAAACCTTTTAGTTCTGTTAATGAAAGTTATTTTTATCTTCTTGTATGTAATAATTCTCTTATTTTTTATTAAAATTGTAAAACATCCTGAGTATTAAGAATATTTTATCCCTAGACTTGAGCTATTCACGGTTTGTTTCCATACTGTTACGGTTTAACCGCAGCTGGCAAGTAAGCACCATGCAAGCACTCACTCCCTCCTCCCCTGACCTCCTTGGTGGGATGGGGGAAAAATAGCAAAAGTAAAAGTGAGGAACCATGTGGGCTGAGATAAGGACAGTTTAATACGTCAAGGAAAACCTACACATGCTAGCAAAGCCAAACAAGGAATTAATTCACCACGTCCCATGGGGAGGTGTTTGCCTGTCTCCAGGAGGGCAGGGCCCCATCACACCTGATGGTTACTGGGAAAGACAAATGCCTTCTCTCTAAATGCTTCCCCCACCCCTCTCTTACTTTTTGCCCTGGCTTTGTATGCTGAGCATGTTCCCATATGGTATGTATGGAATATCCCTTCCTTTGCTCACTTGGGGTCAGCTGTCCTTGTGGTGTCACTTCCCCACTTCTTGTACACCCCTAGCCCTTTTGCTTGTGAGAGACCTTTGTCAGTACTGCTTAGGAATAGCTAAAACACCCATGTATTACCAACACTGTTTTTAGCACAAATCCAAAACAGCCCTATTTCAGCTACCATGGAGAAAATTAACTCTACCCTAGCCAAAACCAGCATGCATGTTTCTTCTTGAAACAACAATGCTAGCTTAGAGTTTTGTAATAAAACTGGGAATTAAATGAATGTAGCGGTATTAAATGCTTGGGGGGTTTTGGAAATAATTGCTAAGACACTAACAGTTAAAGTTCATCAAATTTGGATAACTCATCCTTGGCAAACTGTCATATGAAATTAAAGGTGAAGTAAACATTTTTGTTGTTCAGTAAAATAAAATGTTTTTTGAAATTTTTTTGAGTTGGAGAAAGTTCTGTAAAGTTAAACATAGCAATAAATTTGCAAGCCATAAGTGTTATGCAAAAGAGAGATATTTATCTAGGAGGTCTGGGAAATCACAGGGTGTTGGAATTGGCATAAGTGATATCAAACAATGGAAACTAAATGTTTGTTAAAATATTATGGATAGGACTGTTTTTGATCTCCCCTCAGAACGCTTATATTTCAGTTTGAGTGTACTGGTATGGTGTTGGTTTATGCATAACTTTCCCTTTGTACTTTTTACATAAATAATTCTGTAGCAGTTACTTGCTTCCATATTTAAAAAAAATATAAAATCCAAAACTTCTATATTCTGCCTTTTGTTTTGTAGGTAATTTACTGTTAAAGGAGACCATATTAGATCATGTGTGTAGGTTGTATATATAGTTAGGAAGTCAAGTGTGTATTTCAAGTACTGAATGATCGATTGAATGGATACATTATCATTTGTATTTCGAGCAGGTATGAAAAAAACACAGCACTGCCATTTGTTTGAAGCCTTGTGATTATAAAAATATGTTCTTTTAGTCCCATTTTCATGACTGAAAATGTACTTTACATTTTAGGTTCCTTATTGGTTCGAAGACTGATGCTGAAAGGTAACTTAATATAGTTTGTACAGCTAATTGGCTTGATGACAAATAATAAATTTTGTTTCTTTTTGGCAAAACTGGATACTGCCAGTGTTACGGTTATGGAAACAGATACAGAACAAATGAAAAAAAGAGGAATTAGTCATCATATCAAGAAGTAGAATAGTGTGTAGTTTCTGTATTTAACAAGCAAGGAAGAATAGAGGACATCAAATAAGTGAGTACACCTGAACTCTGAGAGCACTTAGGAGTAATTTCATCTGAACATTTGGCACAGTAAATTTGCAATCATGGAAATGGTTCATTTGAACTTCTTGTTTGAAGTGTAATCTAGGATTTAAGATTTATACACCTTCGTTTTGTGTATTGTGCATGTTTTGATTCAGCTTTCCTAGAGAAGCTAGTAATAAAACAGTTTTTCAGTATATTTTAGTTGTAGAATGAGTAGGCGTAGCAATTCAGGGATAACTGAGGCAGCAAGATAAGTGGTTTTAAGTGTTTGTCAGCGTACATCATGTTAGATTGCCTGTGCATATAAGCACAGAACCTTTAAAGAGCAACCTCTGTCAGAGCCAGTTGTGTTTTTGTGCCTCCATAGGATACCACTGGCTATGTACATACCATAGCTCTTATCCCCATGCCTGTGTGGCACGTTATGTGCGTGGCAGGGAAATGAGTCTTTGACTTGATCAAAAATCAGTAATAATGTTCTTCTTTTAAATAGGTGATTTTGATCCAGAAAGTCTTTTACTTATATTCTCTCCTGCCTCCTTTGTGCTGATACTTTTGCTGCTTGTTCTGTAAGCTGAACTGGGGAGATTGGCTGGCTGGAAAGTAAAACAATAATATTACAAGAGCCTGGTTTTAACTGTGATTGATTTCCTGATCATGTTTGTCACTGGGTTGCACAAGTCCCTTCATCAGAATAAGCAACAGGGTTTCAGGGACAAGTACAAGAAGAAACAGTAGAGGGAGTGCAAGACCACCTTTTTTTGAGTACACGGCATTTTACTACCCTGATGCCACCGATTTTTAAGTCAGTCTAAAACCTAAAACCTATTTGCTACAAAAAGTGCACTGCCCTCTTTCCTTTGTCATGTGTGTCAGGGCCCTTGCTTATGTCTGCATTAGTCAGGTAACAGCATATGACAGAAGCAGACCTACATCAAGATAAAGAGTATTTCATCACTTTTAGGTGTGAGGTAATGGAAATATTCCAGCAGGTTTTCACTGAGGTCCAGTCTGCCAGAGTGTGACTACAGCACTTCAGTGTTAGATTTCAAGGTCATTTGTTATATTGCACTCATGTTTGTGAAACACTATTCCCTCAGCTTGGTTGTCTTAGATTAATAGAGATATAGTATCTGATTCTGTTTGATAGAACAGTATTTTAAACTTGTTTGTCGAATGTCTGTCATAATGCTCACAGGGGAGTGATTGGTCAGCCCTTGCATTTAGAGTCCTCACCTGTCATAGACCTCAAGCTGAATGAGGGTTGACTGTATCACAGGCAACATAACCAGAAGAGTCACTTTCTATAGAGGATTCTGGACTTCTGTAAAAAAGCGGGAATGGAATCCCCATTGACTGACATCCCAAAAATCTGCAGTTGCTTTGGGGAATGGAACTGTTCTATTGTTTCCTATATTCCTCCAGTAGAATGTTTCTCACACTATTATTTTGTATTAGAAAAAAAAAAGATATTAAATGTTAAAACGGAATAAATCTAAGAGCCCAGGAATATAATGTAGAAAGATACAAAGAAGTATAAGTATGTTTTATATATGTGCATCTCTATGTTATATAGAGATATGCTTACATAATATATAAAATATATGACTATAACATATACAATTATCTGTTTATCTACAAGTATCTACTTTGGAAGTTCAAAGTTGTTAATCTTTTCATGTCCTCATTGTTTGTTTTAGGGTGGTGAATCAGTACCAGGAGTTAGTGCAAAATGAAGCTAAATGTACTGTGAAAATGTTTCATAATTCAAGTGGATCAGTCAGTCATCTTTCTCCAGGGAAGGAAATGGAAGTGAGTTTATCAAGCTACAAATTTGTTTTATTTGTGGTTAATTATTGAATTATTAGAATAATTTTTGCTATCCATATTTAACAGTAAAATAACCTAAAAATGCTATCCTGAATTAATTTCTAATTGCATTATGGTCATGATCATTCTATGTGAGTATATTGGAAAAGTTAGTGGAAAGCATTTGTGTTTTCCATGTTCGGATGTTGTCTTTTAGCTCTTCTGAGGCATTGGGGGGTTGGCTGTGTATGATGTAGGTAGCTCCAAAGTTTTGTTTTAGCATTTTGCCCTGTTCATATGAATCTTTCATAGAGCAGTATAGTAAAATGCAGCTGTGTGTCTTGTTTTGCAGGTCAGTAAACACAGAAACAGATGGAGTAGCTGAACATTTTACCTTTAGAAATTCAAATTATTTTCTCTTCAGTTTGAAGAGGAAAACTTTAAAAACCACTCAAACAAAAACCAAGACAAACAAAAGAAACAAAAAGCCAAAAGCAAAAAAAAAACCCTCAAGCATACAAAACAACCTCCAAAACAAACCCCAACAACTTTGCAGTGTGTATTTTTGCATGCACACACATTTCTACATTTTCAGTATAAACTCTTATATTCCCAGATTTTCCTGCCTGTTGGCATTGCCTTGCGTTTTACTTGCTTTTGCTTCTGGTTTTGTTTGGTCAGAGTTGGTGCTTCAGCAGTGAGCTGTATGTTATACTCCAGCTAGTAAATTGAGATTTGTATCCCCTGGGGTATTTCCTTTGTGACATCTTTCCCCTAAATGCCTACTTACAAACTCCAACAATGTTTTTCTGAAGGAGGTAGTTTCTGGTGTCAGGCAGACCAGCAGCATTCAGCAACTGCAAAAAGAGATATGGATGTTTCTGTGTATGTGTGCACACATGTACATGCATGTGTGTATATATACATTAAAATCACAAGTTGGGTGGAATGGTGCTTGCCTGGACCAGACTTACTCAGGTTACTATATCACCATTTGAATGGGGCATTGGTCTTTATTTTCAAAATCAAGAAAGCAGATTTTAATACAAGAACAGAAAGGTAGTTCTCAGAACTTTCCTCAAAAGATTCTTTTTTATAAACAAGCAATTAGAAACATGTAGAGGGACTGTCTCTTATTACTGAAAATCAGTGGAAGTTAAGCTTACCAAAAAGGGTGATTCTGCACAATGCTCTGATTTCTTACCTCATGCACATTTAATTGAGGCTCCAGTACTGAAATACTCCATTCACTATATTGCAAGCCTCATTTCCTAGTTTCAGCAGTTTGTTTAAACAAACTGTATTTTTGTTTAAACATTACTGTCATTTATGGATATCTGCTATAAGGCAAAAACACATGGAATATAACTGAATGTGTTTTATTGTTGAGTCTTTAGACAGTGCCAGCTATTGGAATTATGGATTTAGGTTCTATTGTGAGTGAGTGAGAACTGCAAGCTCGAGTAGGTGAAGTGGGTGTATGTTTAGACAACCTGGTAATTAGGATATAAGAATAAACAAAAAGGCTGTATCTTACCTCTAAGAATATGAAGTTCTGGTCCCACTGAAGCCAGTGGGGAAATGTGTTTTGATTTCTCTGCATTCAGGATTTTCCTAAATTTATTTGAAATCCTGCTCCTAGAATGAAGAATTCTGATCCTGTTCTTTAAGTCTGTCTTGGTTGAAAATGGCAGGTATATACAGAATGAATTAATGAAATTACGTAATTTTTCAAGTAAAACCTAAATGTTTTATAATTTTAAGTGTATTCATCACTTTTGTGTTTGTGAGAATTACTACAGAAAATGACAATTATGGAGAAAAGTGAAACTTTAATTATATTTCTTATTTCTTTGCTCAGTTTAAATTTTTACTAGCACCTTCGTGCTGCTTCTTGATGGTAAAGACTTTATCTAAAAGAGAGTTCATCATAGGTTTGGGTTTTTTTTAATAAATACATAAGCATCTGAAATGGCTGCAAGGAATATTGTAGTTCTGAGAAGCCTTCATACAAATCAGTTGAATTGTCTCTTCTGTCAGCTGTGCGAAAGCTCTCATCATTGCTGTGGTAGTGTTAATTTCTCTTTCCTTCCAGCAGCCAGAAAGTGTATCAGGCTCTGTTCAGTCTTCAGTACTGGGGAAAGGTGTAAAACACCGACCTCCTCCTATCAAATTACCTTCAAGTTCAGGAAGTAGCTCTTCAGGTAATAATTTTTTGACTCAAACATCTAATTTTAACATGTTCTGCCTGTTGTAAAATGAAAGGATGTCCCTTTAATGAAGATTTAATTTAAAAATACCAGAACCTCATCTGTGAGAAGAGCATGGAGTTTTTGGGGATTTTTTTTTTTTTTAATTTCTGCTTATATTGTTCACAAAATTGTATCCTAATATTTAAGTTAACATGTACTCACAGAATAGTAATGTATTTTAATTATACTTTTCCAGGCAGTATTTTTAGCTCACAACAGTCTAGTGGCCATCTAAAATCCCCAACTCCACCTCCTCCTTCTAAGCCTCCTGGTGTTTCTCGGAAACAATCTATGGATCTTAATCAAGTTAGCATGCTCTCTCCAGCTGCCATGTCTCCTGCGAGCTCTTCACAAAGTGAGTCACGACCTAAATTCTCCATTAAATCTTAGGCTTTTGCATAAATGCTTCCTGAGATAAACTTCTTAACCTGTGGAATTATGAAACTTAAGTGTACAGTGTACCCTAAATTGTATAAGTTGTGCAGCTTTAGGCAGGTCTCTTGTTCACTGTATGTATTTTATGTTTATTGTAACTGTGTTCGTTTTTTGTATATATATGTATGCACCCTCTGTGTATACGTTTTAATACATTTTATGCAATTAGCATGATCTCCTCATATACGAAAGGCTGGTTGGTAGATGATGTGATGAGATAAATTCCAAAGTGTAGATTTTTTTATTCCGGTGTAAAAACAGTGTGTTAGATCAATTTGCCTTTACATAATTTAAGCATCTGTTTTTTTAAATGTTATAGGAACTGGTGCAGTTGTGTATCTATGTATGTATATAATCTGATCAGTCCCAAGGTGATGATACAATAAACGATAAGATGATTTTTTAAAAACACTCCTACACTGTTTTACAAATCATTGCTGATTGCAAGTGTGGTGGTGATGCTGCTGACGATAGTACCATATTCTCAGGTGTAAAAATGCAAATTTCAATCAGAAGCGACATCCTAGTTAAAGTATTTTCATTAACACTGACAGGATCGTTTTAATCTTAGCTGTAGATCAAAAATGTTTTCTAAAACATGTATGTGTCTTGAGCCATGTCGTGAACAGATCTGTACAAAGAGGAAACCATAGCTGCAACTTCTCAGTTTTTTTATGAATAATTGTATACTGCACATTCCAGTATCCTGCATGGTATTAAAATATGCTTTTTGCATTAAATAATTTAAAATCTGGGTAGCTCAAAAGGTGTAACTTTTCTGCCTTCTTATTTTGCACAAGATAAAAAAGAAAACTAGTTTTCTTCCAAAATACTGAGTCTGGTTTTACATTAGTGTTATGAATTCTGTAAATCTGCTGCACAGTTACTCTAAGGCTCTTGTCGCCATTCATATTTATTTCCTTTCTTTCTGCAGGACATGAAAGCTAAAAAAAGAAAAACAAAAAAACTAGCTCAAGCTTTTTGGGGGTTTTGTTTTGTTTTCTTTTTCTGTTGATAGACTTTGCCTACTGCATCCACAACAAATACAGCTGTATGTGTTACATTTAAGCAAAGAGAATTACACAGTAGCTTTTAAAGATGCAGTATTATCCTCTAGTTCTTAAATATTAGGTAGTTGCTTTTTATTTGGTCGATACTTGGAAAACTGCAGTTTGGCTATCTGATGAAATTTAGACCAGCCCCATGATCATTGAAATTATACATGATTGTTTTCCATGATAAGTTTTTAACACAACCAGTTATGCAGGCAGTACATGGATACTATTTGTTTAACAGTTTAGGACAAACATTAATTAGGTTAAAATGGTCACTAAGAAATTATTTTAAGTATTCCTGAATAGAATTATGACTTAATGTATGATAGATTATAGAAACCTTAAAGGAAAATAGAAATTGGTGTATGCCACAAGGAATGAAGCATGGAGAATGGATTTTCTTTGTGATTATACTGCATCCTTAACAATGTGTGTGCTGCAACATTTGTCATGTAGAAATTAACACTTGCAGTCTAAAAAACGGAAAACATTGTCAGTGCTAAGTAAGATTCCATTAACCTTATTATACAAAAAGGATTGGCCTTTTATAACAAACTAGCACTTTTTATTTTTCTCAATGAGCAGGGTCTGGAACTCCTAAACCATCTACTCCTACTCCAACCAACACCCCTTCATCGACCCCACACCCTCCTGATGCTCAGAGCTCAACTCCTATTACCCCTTCTGCCACCCCTACTCCCCAAGATTCAGGCTTCACCCCTCAGCCCACTTTGTTAACCCCATTTGCTCAGCAGCAAATGTCTCTGAGCCAGGCACTGCCTGTAATGACCATTCCTCTTTCCACCATGGTAACATCCATTACTACAGGAACAACCTCCACCCAGGTCATGGCAAACCCTGCAGGACTTAACTTCATCAATGTAGTGGGCTCTGTGTGGTAAGTGTTTTGTTATGATGGTTTCTTAATTTGCCATGGGGTTTGGTTGATTGGTGGGAGGCAGTGTGGTTCAGGACTGTCCACCAACCATTAGGGTAAATATTTTTCAGGATCTGCAGTACAAAAAAGATCACTCACTTTGTAATTATAAAGTGAAGAGCCAGTAGAAACTATTTGTATTTCTCAAATAGAAGTCACCTACTATTAGATTATTGAAAAACATCTATTAAGAAAGGCCTTTATTGTTTTCATCTTTGTGGAGTCGTATAGGTTGATTTCTTAAAGTTTTATCTCAATTTAAGTGATTTAAGTGATTTCTGAGGTTTTGCTTTTAAGTTTGAGAATGTTTTATTAATCAGAGGGGAAGTAGAATATCATATGCAGACCAATCTAAATGAAAAATGGGAACAGATTTGTTTGCATCAATTTGAAAAGAGGTGAAACACTCTTTGATCCTTAAAACTCATTTTGTGGTTTGAAAAAAATAATAAATGCTTTCAAGAATAGATGGTATGGTATAACATGAACTGCTTTTTAGACTAAGAAAAATTCTGCAATTATGATGGTCAGTGTAAGACACATAGTGTGCTTCAATGCAAGTATCAGACATTCAAATTACCCAGCTAAGGTGTTCAGCAGCTGGTCACTGTTGATAAATTGGACTTTTTATAGGGCAAAAAGAAAATGCAAACCTGTTCCTTTTATGATAGTACAACCATTTTGAAGACTGTTGACCTTTTAGTATTTCTAGAATGAAAGGACCACTTGTGGTTTATTTTTATCAGTTGATATCAAAGAAGAAAAAAACTAGTATGGTCTCATAATATGAAATATATGTTATGCTCTAAGCAAAATTATTTAGCTGCATTGATGCTTTATCCATAGTCCCATAATTTACAGCAAGCTACTGATTTATTTGCCATGAGACAAAGAGCAACAATTTACTTACTCAGATTTACTTGTGCCACTTGGGTTTGATGTGTTGTCTTTCCTCTTCTACAGTGGAGCACAGTCACTGATGAGTGGTTCAAACCCCATGTTGGGGTGCAACACTGGTGCCATAGCCCCTGCAGGTATAAATCTGAGTGGCATTTTACCCCCAGGAGGTCTGGTACCAAGTGCGCTGCCCGCTGCAATGCAGTCTGCCTCCCAAGCAGGTCAGTGTGACTGAGTGGAAAAGCCACCCTTCAGACAGGGACAGTGTGAAAACATTTTGGGAGAAAAATGGACTGAAGTGGCCATTGTGTGAAGAGGTTGATGGCTGGAGCTCAGAACAACATCCATGTTTTTGCATTCAAGGTCTAGGCTGTGTTGGAGATTGTTTTAAGCTGGTTTTTGGTGAGCTAGGCTGGGGATACACAGTCAAAACCTGGATTATTTGGTGCACTCAGTAAAAAGTTTGAGAGAAACTCCAAATTCAAATGCAATTTTGATAATGCTGACTCCCAGAAAAAAATGCATGATTGAACTTAAAAAGAGGCCTCACTTTTTAAATGTGTGGGGTGTTTTATTCTGGCCCTGGTACTATTTTATTCTTGTACAACAATTAAGTAGTTCCATATTGCCTTCAAATGCAACTATATAAGTCTTAAAAGCACGATTTAAATATCAGTTTATTTTTTATGAATATAATTTAAAAATGTCTAATGTATGGTTATAGAATGAGAACAGTAGAAGACTTCAAGATATCCATCCCTTATGAGTTAAATCTCTCTAAACCATATTGAACCAACGTTTATCTTTAAATACCTTCACTGAAGAACATTCCAGTTTTCCTCAGTAGCTGTTTGGAGTGGCTCATTATCCATGCAAAATGATTCCTTTCTAATTACAGTGCATCTCCTGAATTGCAATTTTTTTTTCCTCCTATACCTTTCAGATGTGAAAAATAGTTGTTCATGTTTTCTCTTTACCTTCTAAGTATCAAACATGCTGTCATGTCCCACATTTGTCTTCTCTTTCTGATAGGTCGTATTTTTCAAACCTTTCATAATCCTGTCACTCTTTTCTAGACTGTCCAATTTGCTTACATCCTTCTTAAAATGTGATAACCAAAACGGGACACAAGCCTGAGCTTGGCTGATTTACCACTGTGGAGCACAGCAGAATAAATGCATCTCATCTCTTTCACAACATTCCTGTTAACATTTGCCTAAATGAGGTCTGCCTGTTTTTTATCTGTATTTTTCACAACAGCATTACCTTAACATAAGAATGGCTTTACTGGTTTAGGCCAAAAATCCATCCAGTTTATATTCTGTCTCTGACACTTGCCATTAGAGGATACTGAGGAGAGTGTTTGAGATGAGGCAAAAGCGTGAAATGCAAACATCCCTTGTCCACAATTGTACCTCTTCTGGCAATCTACAGCTTTGAGACTTTCTCAGCTAAAGAATATCCACATGGATCTTTGTGCTTAATATCCTGTGCTAGATGTCTCGTCTGTGGATTTATCTAATTGGTTTTTGAACCCATGTGTATTTTTGGAATCTCTACAGCATCTTGTGACAGTAAATTTTATAGATGTAAACTGTGTGAAGAGGTTCTTTTCTTTTGAGTGCTCTGTAGTTTGTGATATGGGTGATTTGGATATGTTTGTGACCTCCTGTAACTTCTCGTGTCCTTTCTTGCCGTATAGACACAAAGATAGTTACAATTTTGTACTTGGTCATTTGTCTTTTTTTAATTCGGTGTTTCTGAGTTTTGGACCATTTCTTCAGTTCATGAGGATTTCTTTTAGTCTACTTCTGTCCTTTTAAGCACTATCAACCTCTACCAGTTAAGTGTCACAGATTTGTACATGCTGTGCTGTCACCCACACAACAGACGCAAGTAGTGAGCTGAGCTAGGTCTGTGCAAGATCTCCTGGGCTTCTGTTTGGTAGATGCTGGCTTACTGGAGTGTTGCTCAGATTTGGGGTGGGATTGTTTTCTGTTAAAGATTGGTGAGAGTGTATTACTTCACTGAGCTTTTGGACTTGTTTGGATTTACTGTACAAACAGTCAAGCTTTTTAAAGGCAGAAGAAGAATCACTGAAAAATAACAGCTGTGGTGTTCTCCACAATCACCTTTATGTAAATGCACAAACAGATTATAGGTCACAGGGTATAATGTTATGTAGTGTACAGATTTCTTTCCATTTAGTCAGCTCTTGCGCACTTTGAGTCTGAATAACTATGAACTGCATTATGGAAAATGCAGCATTGTATTAAGTTTACACTTAATTTACACTTACCAGTATTACACTTTTATTATACTTGTATTATATTATACACTTAGTATTAAGTTTACACTCAATTTACATTTGCCAGTTTTCCAAATTCCAGATGTTCAGAAATAGTCCCAGTGAAAAGGTGTACTGCAATACACAAATACAACTGAGTAAAGACTCACTACTAATGAAAAGATGTTTTCTTTAACAGGCAGTCCATTTGGTTTGAAAAATACATCAAATCTTCGGCCCTTAAATCTTCTACAGGTAATTTATATACTTGGACACAATAATAATGATAATTTTTTATCTTTCTGTAGAGACCTGCTTAGTGCTGCTTACTGCACTGCTCCACAGAGATCTTTGGAGCCAGTTGGTCAGACCATTTACTGCAAATCTTAATTGCTTATTTAAAAGGTTTAGAATAAGAGAAAAGACATCTCCATAGAGATACCAGGTGGAAGTTATATTCTTATCTCAGAAAAGAAGCAGATAATTCTCAGTAACAATACAAAGATGCTGACATTTGGATTCAAAATATTAATCCTAAAATGCAATCCTTCAGGATTTGCATAAGGTTTCATTACAGATCATAGACTAAAGTTAAAATTATACTGTACAAAACAGTGTGGTAGAATCACTCAGAGGTTTACATGCAGAATGCCTAAAAGCCAAGGTCAGCATGCACAGGTAGCTGCAGTATAGGTTTTAAGAGTTTTTGGAAATGGAAGTTCATGTAAGATAGGGAGTTTAGAAGGTCTGTAAATGCTTTATTTGCACAAAGCATGCATACAAATACAAACATGAGCGGATGTTTATTATGTCAGAGTTGCATTTAAAAGTGGAGCAGGGTTTTTTTTGTGGAACTGGGCAGAGTTCTTGGATCTTGAAGTCAGCTGCCAGATACAGATGCAGAATTGCAGTTTTGGTGTTCCACATAGTTTGCACCACATTTCAAAAAATTACTACCAGCTTTGCTACTTCCACTTCCCACTCCTGTACACTCCAGAAACATGGAAAAGGCCAGGCAAAGGAGGCAGTTATGCCAGAGTAGAGCTCTTCTATACAATTAAATGCTTGTATTTCAGTGATTCCATGTTAAAGGACATTGTTTCAAGCTAGTTCTGCCACTCATAAACCAAGAACAACTCAGCTGAAATAAGTGCAATTAAAGCTGGGTAAGGAAGAGTAATCAAGGCTGTGTTGCTGTCTTAAAATTCAATGGAATATTCTGAAAGTGGAAATTAGACACAGTGCTGTTGAAGACTGGCATTTATCTTTCCAGTATTAATACAGTATCTGCCATTTTAATGAAAATAATTCAAATCTATTTTCCTGTGGAAATACCTTTCTATAAGTTCATGCAAGTTTGTTTTCAGAGCATGAGTCTTTCAGAAACACCAACAATTGCAAATTGATTTTTAAAGGCATTGCAAAAGAAAAATTAAGCCTTTGGGAAGTACACCACTATCAATACTATGTTCATCCTAGAACAGTAGGAAACTCAGCAGTTTGATTGAATTATGCCTTTTGTTTTTAATCTTTAACAGCTTCCAGGTGGTTCACTTATTTTTAACCCACTCCAGCAGCAGCTGTCACAGTTTTCTCCACAGCAACAATGTCAGCAGCCTACAACCTGTAGTCCTCAGCAACAGGGAGAACAGGTGTGTGCCAACAGCCCTCAGTCTGGGTTGCTTGGATGAAACAGTTTCTCCTATTCTCCCCATCTCTACAAGTAAATGAGCCATTACCCCATAGATCTGAAGCAGAGGGGGAGGCAGTTCTTCCTCCTAAACATTCTCAAACAGCAAAGAGTGCAGTGGCTCTGTTGCTATGGCTATACTTCTTTATTTATATTCTGTATAGAAAAGCTCTAACAATGCTGAGCATTGTCTAACTCTGTCATGAAGAGAGCCAGCCCCACTGTATGAGTGGTGTGAAACCAGCTTAGTGCTTTGTTTATCATAACTAACAGATATATCAGATGAACAGAGAAAAAATGCAGTCAGGATATTACAGAGTAGCAAAAACTTGTTACTGCAACTGCTGTGAGTTTGTTTACAAACCTCACTGCTGCAGTTCAGAATGTTCTTTGCACCAAAGGAAACACCGGTTGTCTTTAAAGCTATAATCTTAAGACATTTGCTCTACTGCTGCCTGTAATTAGTCTTAAAGGCTTTAATCATTGAGGAAATATAAAGTCTTGATAGACACTGCTCTGTCTTCAAGTGACAAATTTTGAATGGTCAGTTGCACCTTAAAAATCCTAAGGTGCAAGTACCAGGTTAGCACTTAAAAATCCTGACTAACATTGATGCAGCAGTGTGAGAAAACTAGCTGCTCTGCTTTTGTGTTCTCAGACACACAGGCCTTCTGTTTACCAAATACTCTCTACTGGATACTCAAGTATGTCATAATTTCACATGTGATACTGTAGACTGTTCATAAATAAGATGCCGCTCTGAAATTTTTTATGGTATATAAAAAATAGATACCTAGCCTCCTGTGCCACAGGCCTTGTTCTGGATTGTGGGACAGTTTAATGGGAAACTTTACAATTTGTTCACAGCATCTGAATCTCTGAATGTCAGTTAGTAGTTGAACTACTAAAAAAAAAATAATGTGACCTTGTACTGTTGGGTTTTATTTTCTAGATAATGAACATCAAGGGCATTTATAAAAAGGATGATGTAAGCATAGTTCTTGTGGCAGGAAGTTCTGGAGAAAATCAGTCTCTGCATTGGTTAAACTGCCCTAAGGAACTTCTCTCATACCTTGCATTATAGAGGAGGGGGTTGTTGGCTAAAGTGAGATATGAACACTAGATTCCTTAGCTTTGATAAGGACTTGAATGTATGTGCTCACAGTGCTTAGTGAAAAAACTTAGGCCCAAAAACAACAATTTACTGTGCTACCCATATAATATAAATATATGCATTCTCTCTCATACTTAGGGATTTTCCCCACATGGTGGTTCTATGACTCTTAGTCATCATGGATGTGATGATGTCTCAACATGCAATTTTTTGGTCTGGTTTTCCTAGATCTTAGTGGCATTATAATGTAATGCTAAAGAAACATTGCAACTCCGGGACTGAACCAGCTTTTTTGTGACTCATAAACCATGCAGTTTTATTGAATTGTGCATATAATGCTTTATTTCTCTGTGTTATAAATCAGTGCATAATTTAAGTTCTAAAAGAGGTCATAATTCAGCACCCTTTGAGTTCAGGAGACACTTGGTCAGACTCCACTAATTCCTTTAAAGTGATTACTGTGGAAACTACTGTGTTCTGAAAATATACTTTTAAAACCAGGGTCTATATTTTTATGAAATTAAGGAGTGTGTGGCACAATATGAACATGGGAATGTGTCAGCCTTTGCACATCTTGATTGATTAGGACCTTTGCACATGGATATCTTAGGGTCTCCAGAAGACTTTGGGGCTGGGACTGGGACAGGAAATTGTCCTAAGATTACAACCATTAAGTGTAGTCTCTGCTAGACTGCAGGGAAATTGACAACTACATGGAATTCTGCTGGGTAACAGTAGCAATACCACTTCTGCCAAAACAAAGCTGTTCTGGGGTACTCAGTGTCTGTTTGTCCTACTGTTAGTGACTACACTGTAGCCTGTATCTGCACACACTGGATGACCTAGCATTAAACGTTTTTAATGGCACTTCAGAAGTTTGCCTTCACACTGGCTTTATTTGCTTATTCATTGATATGAAAGTTTGGTAATAAGGATCAAGCTTTTCATTTTTGCTAGGGGTCTGACCAAGGTCCATCCAATCAAGATCAGGCATTATCTGCCCAACAAGCTGCTGTAATTAACCTGACTGGAGTAGGGAATTTTATGCAACCTCAAGCCACAGGTATGTGCTTGCTGAGCCTCCTTTTGTAGCAAAGTGTTTATGTTGATAAATTCACACTGAAATGAAGTTTGGTCTTAAGGAAGTATTACGTTAGATCAGAATGGTTCACTGTTTATTATCAGGACATGAATTCTATGAGAAATATTCGACTTCTAAAGCATGCACTTCTCTGCTTTATTTGGCAGTTAAGTGCCATCAATTGATAGTATCACATGAAAACAAGTTAAAGTTAAAACGAAAATGCAGGGAACTTCATGCCAGACTTCATTAAGGAATGTTTCTTTAACTCTGTGCTTAACTCCCAGTGTGAGAAACCTTTGTGTCTCTACAAGCACTTCATAATCTAATTATGTTCTAACTAACAGAGTATGTATATCATATATACTTTATTCTGCACTGTTCCAAATTTGACTCTGAAACTAATTCTGTTGATCCCCCTTTTCCTGTTACACTGTATTCCTATGTCTTCCTCCCCTGACCAACTCAACCTGACTTCTTTGACCTGCCTGCTTTCCCCTTCTCCTTTCTCAGTGTTGTCTCAGCTTGGCTCTGCCGTGAACAGACCTGGGCAAAGCCTTCCTCAGCAGAGACTCCAGCTCTCTTCTGCCCTGCAACAGCAACAACAAGCCTTGCAGCAGCAGCAGCAACAGATACAAGTAATCCAGCAACTTCACTCTGACTGTGTTTAAAAAAAATTAAATTAAAAATATAATTCTTGGCTCCAAAATAAAAAATATGGCCCTCTTGGGCTCTCTTTTTAACTATGGTCTCGCAAATTGAAGGAAAAGAAAACCAACATGTATTTGGCAAACTATATTGTAAAACCCAAAATCTGTGATTCTCTCAGCTTGGAGCACTGAATTTATTTTTATTTGTTTAAGCCCTCCACCTTCCTGATTTGCAAACATTCAAGGGGTGCTTGTGGCACATGTCTAAATACTATACCAGGTGCCAATAGATTTCAAAGTGTAAGCACTTGGAAGTTCAAACGTAGCAATCCTACAGTAAGTACATGAAAGCAAGAGCTCTGCAAAGCATTCCTTTACCATTCAGATGCTTCATGAAAATATTTTAGAATTTTTTTAGTACAGTCTCATGTTTGAAATATATACGGAAAATTCATACAATGCGTACACTGAGAAGATATCACATTATAAAGGTACTGTGTAACCGAAACACTCAGTGAAGTTGCTGAGTTACTGCAGTTACTGCAATGAAGAGAAAGGGCAAAGAAACAAAGCTGTGCACATTCACATGTAAAATGTTAGCTTGTGCCCTCAGCAGGCTTCTGTGCCACTGGTGCTGCTTGACTGTACCCATTGCCCTGGTATATGGTGTGTTCCTTTGTCAACCTGGTGCTTCCTCATTTTTTCTTTCTTTCCCCTCCCTTTATTCTTCTGATGTGAAAGCTTTATAGTCAACACTAACAAGCTTTTTCTCCTTCTCCTCCATGGCAGCAGTTGCGATTCTTGCAGCATCAAATGGTTATGGCAGCGGCAGCAGCACAAGCAGCTCACCTGCATCATCAACAGCATTCAGGCAGCCACTCAAAAAGTAAAAGGAAAAGAGGCACACCAGCCCCTCCAAAATCATGAGACTTGCCTCCCCCCCAAAAAAATTGATTTGAAGGGGATTGTTTTTTCCAGATTGTTAAAGAAAAGGCTTAAAATAAAATTAGTGTTTTATATTACTGGTGGGAAAATGAATTTTTGACATTACATTAAAAGAAGTGAACTGATTTTGGAAGCCAACCTTACAGAACTTAGAAATATCATCTATAAAGTGGCTAGGATCTGGTTTTCTCTAGTCACTTAATTTTTTAACAGAATGTTTTATCTTGTATTTTTTACCACTCAACAACATTGTACATAGAATAAGGGTGAAAAACATTTTAGAAAAAATGAACTTTGTAAATGTAGTATTGGTATTTGTTTATTTAGTATAAAAGGTTTGTGAACACTGTAACAAATACAATTTTTACAAATCCATTTTTGAAAAGAGCTCTTTTTGTTCACTTGGGTGTTATACTTTTTATTACTTTGTCTATCAGTTTCTTTACTTCTTTGTGTCTTGTAATTGCTCTGGTGATACAGTCTTGAAGCTTGGCTCCTGTAAGAGGACTTCCACCTAAACATTGAAGAGAACAATTTGATTTTCTACTTATACTTCAGTTATTTATCTGCGATTTCCAAATGGGAGTATTAATACAGTAATTGTCATTACCAGCACCTTTCACTGGGGAGCATACAGCTTTCCCAGCCCTAGCTTCAGGCAAAGATAATGGAAACAAAGAGCTGTAACAGGAGACATGCCCAGAATTAATCCTCTGCTGTGACTGCTTTTTGAACTTTAGCATGCCACCCACCATCTTAAAACTCATTTCAAGACCAGGTAATTTTATGACTATTCAAGCAGACACTCTGTTACCACAAAGCACATGTATCTTACAAGGCAAAGCAGGTACAGAATCTTTGCTTTACCTAGTACCATCATCTCCCATAGGTTTCTTTGTCGTAAATTTAGAAGTACCTGGTTTATGGACAGAACATAGTCTGCCTTCTTCATCAGTTACAATGGTTACTGTTCCAGTTGCTAAATCTTCTTCTTCAGCAGTTGGATCAACAATGAGTAGCGTGCTTGTGAAAGAAATGCATGCAGATATATTGGTATACATTGCTCCATTAATGTTATTGCAAAATACAGTTTTTACTGTAGTTTTACAAAATACTTGTAGATGGATTTAGTCTCAAGCTTATATGTTTTCCTACCAAAATGCACCAATTAAAAAAAAAAAGAAGCCAAAAAATGTGGGAGATTCCACATAATCATGTGTTTGTGACTGTGGAAAATAGCATATAAGTAGTTTTATAATTTGTGACAGTGATGTATTGCAGGAAAATGCCACTAAATTTCCATCTGCAGTATGCAATATGAAAGATTCCAGTCATTATTTTGTAGTTACTCTGAAGACTGGCATTGGTTTTACATGTAGGCTGCACTAATTTGTACCAGACACCTTAAAGCAAAACTGATTTCCACTGGCAAGTTCACCAAAGTAGTTCTCCATTTGCTGTCAGTGAACTCAAACATCACTCAGACTGGGACTAGTTCAAAACCAGGTTCATTGGGTTGCTTAAGACAGTTTATTCTGGCTGTCATACTGTCACATGAGCAGTTCAATGCATGGCTGTTGCTGATGTACAGGTTGCTGCCACAGGAGCAGCCAGTGCTGGTGCCACTGCACCAGTGCTCCTCAGCCATGGCCGTGCTAAGCAGCAACCTACCGCTTCCATTTATTCAAGGAGGCCTTTTATGCAGAAGAAAAATGCCTCTGGAAGCCAGAGCATGTAAAGCATTTTATTGAAAGGGCTATTAACCAGAGTTTTTTTTAAAATAAACAAATACCACAAAAACCCCCCAGCAAACCACACAACACAGGCAGACACCCCCTCAATACTTAGTTTTAGGAGCTAAAATTTGATGCAACAGTTGGTTTCAGGGAACGAAACAAAGCCCAATAGACACTCATGGAAAGCCTTCTTCCCCAGGCAGCTTTTTGGTCTACGTGTAAGTATGTATGGTTTGTGTGTAAATAATACCCTACTGACAGCTGTCTGCCTAGTATGTTACTCAAACGCTCAGAGTACATCAAACTTCAGACCTAGAAAAATGGTATTAAAGCAATTAACAGAAGCATTCTAAAGTACCTAATAATGTACTTTATTGTACATTACTGCACAATTTATTGTACTTTATTGTACTCTGATGCATTTTAGTAATCACTTGGTCAACATTTGCGATCATTGCTCTCCCCACCCTATTTGGATGAAAGGCCCCTACTAATAATTTCTGTGAATACATATTAATGTGCCATAATACCCCAAGAGCTCCAAACAGGCCTAAGTCTTGAATAGCACAGTGAGCACTATCCTGTCACTTTCTAAAGCAAATGGATGTCACCAGAAATGACTGCATTTCTTATAAATAGCAGCAGAACACATTCTTAATATTCCTGACCTAAGGAAGAACCAGTAGACAATTTCAGATGAAGAGTCAAGTCATCAAATGTGATTACTTTGAATTCTCATAATCAGAGTCTCTTCCTACACGAACAATGATTTAAGTATGCTAGTTACACTTCACCTTGGGTAATTATGTTTTCAGTTATCCAAGGGTTCTATTGTTCTAACTGGACTGTTACTTCTTACTTTCTTTGTTGACTGCATCTTTGGAATAAGCTGTTCAAAAACTACCATCTTTTCTATCAGCTACTTACACAGACTTCTAAAACATTAATTGTACCGGTAATGTTTTTATCCCAAGATACATCTAAAACCTAAAACAGTACCCATCCGTGTTAAGCTTATCTTTTAGGTTGGGAACCACTTCTGCTTTAAGCCACAGAAAGAAGCTGCAGAGTACAGACTGCACTTCATTCTGTGCACTCACAGAACTAGAGGCCCCTTCAGTAAGAGAGGCGGTGAATTTAAGATGAGTGGAGCAGCATTGCCTGAGGCTTCACTCTCATCCCTGGCAGAACTGCAGAAACATCACCGGTGGCATCCTCTGTCTTTCATTTGTTTTACAGACACTGTTGTTTGCATAAAGTACAAAACAGTTTGGAACTTACTCATCAAATATAGCAAATGATGTGGCAACTGGATGCTTTCTGATAATCAAAGGATTCTTCTGTTTTAAATTAACTTCTGATAAACCAGTTTCTTCATTTATCGTAACTAACGGCAATTGCACTGAAGAGATAAAAAAATTACAATGGTCTAATATTAAACATGCTGGGTTTAGCAGGCCTAGGGATGTTGACAACTACTGAAATATTTAAGCTGTTCTCTTAATCCACTGAAAATCAATCAGAATAGTTCTTCCTACATTAATGGTACACTAAAAAAAAAAAAAAATCTTGAATTCAAGGAAAGTATTTATCTTAGAACTACCTGTTCAAGAAAGCGTTTCATTCTTGTACTCAGGGTAACAGAAGCTTTTCTCTTTACACAAAAATATTTTCTACTTCCAAAATGCCACACAAAATACTTTAGTCATATTTAACCAAAGGTATTTTTTCCCCAAGTCTACTGCACAAATAAAAATTAGTACTATAATCTCATGTCATGAATTTTATATATCTGTAGAAACAGTGCAACCTGACCTTCAGCTAACTCTTGTTGTGACAACCAATACATTGCTAGTGACAAGGAGGACAAGAGCAAAGTAGCTAGGAGAATTCCAAGGCTGGCAATTCAGTTAAAAAGAAAGGCCTTGCCCTTTAAACTGCTGCCTTCATGCATTTGTAAGCCACACACCTTCAGTCAGGCCACACATTTTACACACTGTAATTCATTAAGCTAGGAAAGGAATGTTATGTTGTGACAATGTACTTGTGTAAGCAAAGCCTCCAATAGCTCATCCTGCTTACAAAAAACACATTATCAACATAATATCCTGATACAGATGTTAAACTCTTTCATGGCCACTGCTAAAAGACTTGGGTATCTGACACCAAAGAACATGTGACAGAATAGCTGTTAGCCTCTTAAGAAAGCAGTAAGTATACAAAACAGATCCTATTTTTCAGGTGTTACACACCTATACCATCCCACCATCATTTCCACCTTGTATTTGCATTCAAATGACAGGACACAAATGGTCCCATGAATTAGTTACCCACGTATTAGGGTTCAAAACAAATGCATTTATCCAAGCAACACTAATCAGAATGTCTCTTACCGTTTTTTAATGCTGCCAACAAAGCAAAGACACTGGCATCCAGAAGGTTTCCATCATAATCCAGACATATGATATCACAGTACAACACCCACGCAAGCTATTAAAAAAGGTTTGCACATGTGAGATATTCCATCAGCTAAGTAAATGGTGCAATATATAAGAAAATCCTGGCCACACTAAATACAGATACTTATTTCTATCATTTGATTTTTGCATTTAGGATGTAAATCAAACTATGAGAACTGAAAAGCAAAAACAACACTAAAACCTGCTATAACCTCAAATACTTTCTGTATCTGCACTTGTGTACAGGTCCTGTGATCTTGTTACCGTCTCCCTTTTCATTCTAAGATAGAACTTACCTTGCCATTGGCAATACACAGATCTTCTTTCACTATCATCTGTGAACTAAAATAAAATAAGAGTAAGCAAGGCAATGGAAAACTCTTGCAGAATTGCTTGTATTTTAACAGCACTGAGATGGTTCTTACTTTTCAATCACATCTGCAATGAACTGGCTTGCTGCTTGAGCCTCTTCACCAGGTGGTCCAGAGCGAAACCTCTCTGCACAGAGGGATGGCAGCTCGACATTTGGAACTAGGTAGCAAGAATCATGAGTCATAAACTAAAGAAAGCAGGCAATGGATAATAAAAAAAGAATGCTCTTAATACAATTTTATGTACTTCAAATGAAAGGCAGGACTAAGAATTTTTCAATCAAGCCTTCCTAATTCTCCCCTCAAAAATAAAGTTATGCATGAGTTTGTATTAAAGAACTTGTAGTACTCTCTGTACTCAAAAACTATATATTACATGGACAAGCACATACTCCTAGCTACCACTCTCTGTTTATATTCCTTCTCTATCATGACCCACAAACACTCCTTAGCACTTTTCAGCAGACCAAGAAACAGCAGCATTTTCATCCCACTGCCTGACTTTACTGGTATGCTGTCTGCTTTCCATCAACCATTAAAACCTAAGGCTTTAGACTTGAAGCAAAAACATGCATAAACATTCATGAAAAGAACCTAAGAATAGTCAAGCTTACTGAAAACAACATACTTAGGAGATGCCTTAGAAAAAAGGGATTTTGTCTAAGCTCTCAATTCCACAAAATTATTTTATTTCCAAAGAAACTCCAAATGGGAGTGAGGAGGTACCACTGGGACATACAGTTCTCTGAGAAATAAACAGTTTTTATTTCACTGTTCTTAACAGCTACATTTTTTGCCTACTGGGACTTTGAAACAGAAGTTAACATGCCTTTGCACAATCTTGCATGCCACTATCTTTTATAGAGTATCTTCTCTCTCTTAATATACACAATGATGCAGGTTTCCTTCCACGCCCAGCCCGGAAAGAGCAGCAAAAAGGTAGCTGTATAAGGAAAACTCACAGGCAAAGCAAAGGGAATTCTAGATGCCTAGATGTCAATTTTGAAATTAATTTGAAGGGTTGTAATAAAATTTGATCCAAATTAATTCTTTTAAGAAATCATAATTTCCACAACCTTTTAGCTGAAGTAATACAAAACCTCAGATCCATACTGAAACACTACACTTACCAATATATCCCTTATTAGCAGAATCTGCTGCAGGTGCAGCAAGTTCCTGGAAAAATAGAAAAGAGAAAAATGAAGAATTTTGTACAAAATATTTTCCAGATGATCTATATACAATGGTTGTTTTCTTCCCAGTTATCATTAGAATGAGATTTACAGAAGTAATTTTTAATCAGTCCTTGTCTGTAAATTTCCTATGGAAGAACTCAATACTGGGATGAGCAGCCATTTGTCTTGTACGTCATGGCAGGCCAGCGGTGCAGTTGAGGCTATAAGGCATTCAATAGTCCAGCCAGCACATTCCCAATGCACTTACTGATCCATGTTCAGGAACTTTTCAATTATAGAGCTTTTATCTAGAAATAACAAGGACTTAGTTTTGTACACATCTTTCCCCATACACGATGAGCATCACAAAAAGACATGTTCTCAGACTATACAGGTAGGATTATACAATTACAATATACATTAACTTTCAGGTCTGGAAGTAATTCAGGTGAAATACTGTAATTGCATTTGACCAGCATGTTATTGTAACTCCAAGGGCAATTAATTCCAAACACAAACACACGAAGACAACTAACAGATAAATAAAGATAAAAACCAACCATACCGCTTTTACTCCGCAAATCACTGTGGTATTTCCTAACTTCACCAGGGCAGAACCATCTGCAGTTGTAATTGAACCTGAAGAGAAAAAGTACTGTTCAGTAAAGTCTATTTTCCCTTCAAAGGGTGCCAAATAACATCCAATCTTCACTAAGTGTTTACCTTCCATCGTTTTATACTAAACACAGCCTAAGCAAAGTCTTGAATCCAGAGTGAGAATCTCTGTATTAAACAGTCAATCACACAGAATGGTTGAGGTTCTCCAGCCTGCTGAGGCCTCTCTGGATGGCAGCACAACCCTCTGGCATATCAGCCACTCCCAGTTTGGTGTCACCTGCAAACTTGTGAGGGCACCTAAACTGTGCTGCACATACAGGTGCAGAATTGACTAATTACACTGTGCACGTTAGCCCAGGAACAGGACTGGAAACAATGCTCAAGGATATTATTGTACCACATACTCTTTTTCATCCTTATTGAAACTGTAAAGAAAAATCCTTCCTCTTCCTGGTTTACAAATGCAAGAACGAAGAAAACCAATTAGTAAGTCATTAAGATCACCACTATAACCTGATTTTAATAATATGTCCCCCATTATGATTATTCCACATAAGCACTTGCCTATGTTGACAGTGGTTGTCCGAAATTCACCTAACTCTCTTCCATCAGGCCGACAGTTCTCCTTCTAAAGAAAAATTACAGACTTCAAATTAGAAAGCATATTTTATCAAATAACACAATAATATTTTTGCTACAGAACTTCATAAAAAATGAAGTTGTCTTCTCAAAAATGCTAGGGAAAACTCAGTCATACTTTAGTTGGCTTTTCATCAACTGATACATAGTTTGTGGTTGTACACCTGCAAAAAAAAACCCCTGATTTTTAAAATTAATTTAAATTTATTTAGACAATACAACAACAGACTGATTGTCTAAAGGGTAGGTACTACAGGAGGCTAGATTCAGAACATTATCCAAGAATGAACACACACTGGTAAACTTAAAATGAAAGTTTCTACCTGCCTGCATTGTTTAGTGGAGCTCTTAAAATTAGAGTGAACTAAAGAAAACTAGAAAATCCAGCATTCAAACACCATCAGTCAGAAGCTGTACAGCACATAACCCTTATGTTAGAAACTGAAACAATATTCCGTTATTTTAGATCTGACTTGTCACTCACAACAGTTTCAAGCTTTTCAAAAGCAAACACTTTTGGCTCAATTATGAGAACCAAAATTTGCAATAACACTGGATCCATTTCTAAGTCAATACAACTTCAGTAATAGCTGAACTAATTTAAGGTAACAAAACTAAGTGGTTTTCCTCTGCAGTTACATTTATTGCTGCATGGTTAGCAGTAATAGTATCTGTTACTAATTTTTGTAGCATCTAAAAACCTGGTTTGATATAATTTTGTACTAGGCAAAAACCTGCATTACCATCTTGGTCAAATTAAACTGAACTCCTTTCAAGACCAAAAGAAGCAAGGATGAAAAAGCACCAACACCATAGATGGAAAGAAAAACACATTCTGAAGAGCACAGATGTTTTTTGCCTGCTCAGACAGTTTTTTTTTTGGGTTTAGTTTTTTCAGTTTCCATTTCCATAGCTTTAGATTTCCATACAGACAAGTTAGAAGAGCAGAAACAAGCAAGAAAAAATTCACTACAAGGAATTTATACAAGGAATTTATACATGTTTCACTCACCAAAAACCTCCTGTAATATTCCAATGGTTCCACAGTTCTAGAACAAATAGAAAGAGAACTTCAAATGTAAGCTCCTGAGTAAGCAAGACGCAGAAAAAAAAAATCTGGAAATCAAGATGCTTGACAAAGCTACTTACCAATACAGTTAAAGAACAATGAGGAAATTTTAAAATAATCTAAAAAAAAAATATGTTTTCCTAAGTTCAGTCCCAAATTGTTCATTCCATATAAGGAAACTGCCTGCACATACACTTAACAAAAACTGCTAGCTTTCACTTCAGTAATCCTATTGGCTCTAATCGAAAGAAGTGTTTAGTGACAAATGAGTCATTAAACACTTTGCCTTTCAAGGAATGCAAAAATGAAAATTTTACTACAATGTGTGAAATATCTGTAAGTCCAAGGACTGCATTCAGATGCAGAAAATTGTATAGATTTTTTTAATTATTCAGTTTTTCTTAGAATCTTTAACAAAATACAAAATATGCTTCATGCAGTGCTTCAGATGAGACATAACTGATGCTTATTACTAATCATACACTAGTAACAGTACTTGTGCATTAGTATTTTATGCGGGGATCATTAAGAAAAAAAAAAAGCTTTTAAAAAAATGTTGCCAATATTTAAACAAAGCATTCACAGTTTTGTTAAAACAGTGCTTCTGGGACAGGGGTGGAAAAAAAAGTGGAATAGGCAAGTTTTCCAAATGCAAACTAAGATACACAGGCAACACGAACATAATGGCCAGCATGAACGGGCTCCTGCTGGCTCCACACGTGTTGGTCCTGTACCACTGCATTTTAAGCCCAACACAAGGTCTGTTGTTTTACAGTTCAGGTAACAGCACTTGCTAAACCTGGCTTGATGCTTTTAAGCCATACAATAGAATCAAGGATGCTGGGACAGACTACCCAGAGAAGCTGTGGGTGCCCCGTGCCTGGAAGTGTTCAAGGCCAGGCTGGATGGGGCTCTAGCAAAAGGTGTCCCTGCCCACGGCAGAGGGATTCGAACCGGATGATCTGGGAAAATCCCCTCTGACCCAAACCATTTTACTATTCCAGAACGAATAGTTATAAATGGGAAGTCATTGAATTCCTTACCGTGTTAATTTCCTTATAATTCTATCAGCTGTGTAAGGGCAGGTTTAGGTCGGACAGTAGGAAAACATTTGTCACCTAGAGGGTGTCTGGGCACTGGACCTGGAACTTCCCCAGGGCACAGCACCAAAACTGCCGGAGTCCGAGAAGCGCTTGGATAGCGCTCTCAGGCACACGGTGACTCCTGGGGATCCTGCACCGGGCCAGGAGCTGGACCCGCTGATCTCTAAGGATCCACCTCGGCGCAGGCTGCAATTCTGCTACCAGGCAGCTCCGGGCCTCACCGAGCTCCGCTCGGGCTTTTTGCCGGGTCTTTTCCCGGCTGGCCAAACCCCGCTCGCTCAGTTTTTCCCGCAAGCGTCGGGGCTCCACAGCCCCCGCGGCACCGACCGCACGCGCCGGGCCCGAGACCGGATAAAGCCCACGGGGGTCCCCGCGCGGCCGGGCCCGAGACCGGATAAAGTCCACGGGGGTCCCCGCGCGGCCGGGGCGGAGACCGGATAAAGCCCACGGGGGTCCCCGCGCGGCCGGGGCGGTGGGGACGCCGGGTGCGGCGGGACCCGCGGGGCGGGCCCGGCGGGACCGCGGCCGCCGGGCCCAGCACTTACTTGAACGCTGCCGCCATGGCGGTGCCGTCTCCGCCCCGGATGTGGCGCCCCCTGGCGGCCCGCTCTCCCGGCCGCCTCCGCGGGCGGACCGGCGGCGGCGGCGGCGATGGGGGCGGCGGCGCTGCCGGGCGCTGACCGCCGGGGGGCGCCGGCGGCTCCCAGCGGCACCCGGCGGGCGGCGCGGCCGCTTCCGCGTCGCTGTCGCGGCGCGCCGGGGCCCCGCGGCTGCCGCGGGCGATGGCGCTGCCGCCGCTCCCGTCCCTGCCCCTGCCCGCAGCCGCGCTGGCGCTGGCGGCCCTCGCCGCTTTCCTGCTCGTCCTGGTGAGAGCCGCGCACGGGGGGCCCGGGGGCTCCGTGGCGGGGGCGGCGCGCGAGGCCGCCCCGTGCCGCCCCCCGGCGCGGGGCAGCGCGGTCCGGCCCCGCCCGGGGTCCCGCGGTCCTGCCGCGCCCCGCAGGCCGTGGGGCCGGCCGGGCCGGGCGGCTGGAGCCGGCAGCGCTGCGCTTCTGCGGGGGGTTGTGCGGGGAATGTGCTTCGGCGGGGCGTGGGGTACCGTGCCTGGCAAAGGGGGCCAGGACGGAGCATTTCAGCCTTACCTTACGTGTTGGGAAATGTCCTGGTAACGCCTCCGCGTTAACCATTTGGGAAGTTGCTGTGTTTCTGCGTATCCGAAATGCCGTGCGAGATTTAAGAGGTCGAGCCCCTGGAAAGCGAAATTCTGTTGCCTGTCCACAGTGCCACGTATGCATCCTGCCCAGGGAGGTGGGGGAGGCACCGTCCCTGGAGGTGTTTAAGGAAAGACTAGACTTGGCATTGGTCTGATCGATACGGTGTTGTTGGGGCATCGGTGATATCAGAGGTGTTTTTCAACCTAAGTTATTCTGTGTGTGGTATCGCCAAGTAAAAGTGCTACAGAACCCAAGTTCTACCACTTTTTTTTATCCACGCATAAAGCAATCAGAGCCTTAGTGTTGCAAGCACACATGGCTGGCTGGTCGTTGATTTCAGCTTTGCCATTGATTTCAGTGGCGTGGTGGGGGATCAGAGGCGGCACCTGCTTATGTGCTCAAGGTTACTTGGGGAAGGAGCTCGGACCACAGCTTTGGAAGCATCTGCATGCTTTGCAGTTAAAAACAGCAGCAAGCCAATGATGCTGACAGTGGTCAGAGTGGGAGTAACCAAAGAGCATGAGAGAGTTTTGGTCCTGTGTGAAATTCCACAACAGTGACCCACCTTATTACTGAAATATACTTAGTTGCCCCTGGTAGAACATTTAACAACTAAATAAACTTCTAACAATGCTTGACAACTTTTTTCATTTCTTCTTCATCACAGATTTGTGTAATCGCTCATGTAACTGCCAAAACAATGCCGCACGAAGATGCTGAGTGCAGGAAAGGATCTGCACCAAATATACATGATCCTGCTACAAGAGAACTCTCTGTCGTTGTGCCTTCATACAATGAGGAAAACCGGTGTAAGATTTTTCTAGTTTTGAGGAAAAGAAGAAAAGCTATCTGTTGTTACTGTAATAATGCAGAGGTCAGTTGCATTAGCAGTAGATTCTGGCAGACCAGATTATGTATCAGATTTTGGACACAGTTTCCAGAAAACAGTCCAAGTACATTGAATTTCAAAATTAAGGCATAGTGGAACTTGATTTCTACTGCTAAAAATAGCATGGAGCACTTGTAAGAATCCTCTTAATTTTAATGAACCCCAGAAGAATGGCTGTTCATTGCCTCTGCACATGCTGCAAGGCAAGAAGTAGTAAAATACTTTTAAATTGAGATTTTCCCACTCTTTAAACAACTACAGCAGCTTCAGACAAGCAGAAAAAGGGATGGTCTCAGGGGTTTGTGTTTGACTTGGCCATAGATAGGAGTACCTGATACTGAGTGAAGGCTTTTAGATGTGATAGAAATAATCAAGCTCTAAAGCTGATGTGGCAGTACACAAGCTGACAGCTTGTTTATATAGATAGTCAGTGGTGCTTTGCAGTGTCAGTCATAAATGATTTTTTTTTTTTCCTTTAATGTTGTGCAGAGAATTATATACTTTAAAATGTAAAGTTGGTTCCTCAGAATAAAAGTTTTTATGCTTTTTTTTTTATCACGTGTGTGATTTTCTTCAGTGTTCTTTCTGCATTCAGAAAGGACAGCACTTAGAGTTGCAGCTGCTAAGCTTGTTTACTGAAGGTAGTGTTGTATGAAAGAGTTGATTTGCTCAGTCTTGCTTTGTGGCTATTTTCAGCTTGCTTGTGCAGGTGCTTTTGGTGTTACAATCTACTAACCTGACTTCCTCCACCTTTTCTCTAGTACCACTTATGATGGATGAAGCTTTGGATTATCTAGAAAAAAGACAGGTATTTTCTTTTTGCATTCAAAATTCATTATTTTCCTGTGTATTATATATAACAAGTTGGTGATCTAGTCACTTTGTTATATTAGTGTACATTAAAACAGTAGTACTTGGCCACTTAGAAATAATGCTTCTGTCTCTTATCAGTAATTTTTAGATCAAGTGCCAGAAAGGATTTTTAAATTAAGTAAAAATTTAGTATGCTACTATAGGATGAAACAATCTTCATATACATGAAATCTGCCCAAGACAGAGCTAAGGATTAACCATGCATTTAACTTTCTAAACTACGTCCTGGTTTGTTCCAACAAGTTTCTTAAGCATCTGTTCTTCAATAGAATTTGTTCCCTGGGTAAGAAGCTCATTGTAAAAGTTTGTGGATTTTGTTTTGTTTAGGTTTTTTTAAAAGTGATGTTTTTCTGAGCTTCCATCTTCTACTGCTAAGTTGATTTTTCAGTTCTAGATGGTAGCATGACAAGCCAATGTTACAGTACCTGCATCAAATATGGCAAAATTCTGTAGCTATGCCATCTTACCAAATTTACTGCATCATATTAGTATCTGTTGGCAACTATGAATTTGTGGTAGGGAGAAAAGAATAATGATGTTTGAAAGACCTACTGCCTACTTAAGAAATTGGATGAAATGCATTATTTCTGCTTTTATTTTCAAGAAACAAGATCCTTCATTCACTTATGAAGTGATAGTGGTTAATGATGGTAGTAAAGATCAAACTGCAAAGGTAAGAAAATGTAATGTCTTCCCAAGCAATCAGAGGCGTGGAATTTTGTTTGGATTTTTGTATCTTTGTGGAATATAACAGTGGTTTATATTTATATTTTGGTACTTGAAATAGTTGACAGTTGAAGTTCACATATCTGAATTATCTCTGTCATTGCATCATGGATGGCACATATGCACATGAATGCACATACAATTCTTCTGCAAATTCTAGTTTTCTTGATTGGCAGCTGTGACAGCCATTTTCCTGCAGCTGTGGTTCTAGGAATTCTAATCCTAACTTCAAGAAATTTCACTTGAAATACTCTACATGTGCATAGTGATGATGTGAATAGGAATTTGAGGAAGCTAAAAAGTCTTTTAAAATGTCTCATTCATACTGTGACAGAACAAGTGACACAGTTCTTTCCCACACCCTTTTTGGGATTGTTAATTTAAAAAACCATGTGCTAGTATTAGTATTTTCTGTAAAAAAAAATAGTTCTGTATTCTTCTGCTTCAATTTTGATCTATGTTACTGGCAAGGAAGGCTAGCCAGCTTGTGGGTTTTCTTTCCTACTGCTTGGAAGATGTTTGAGGTAGAGACTAAAATGTATATTGCTTTAAGAATTGCTGGTATATAATTTTGACTGCTGTGCATTCTTTCTACTATCTCTTTCAATTGAGCATACAATGGCTGCAGCCCTCTGGACATAAAAGACCTCAAGACAACCTTTAGAAAAAATTAGGAGAAAACTCAAGCTTTCTCTTCCCCACAACATATACCAAAATGTTCAGATCCTTGCAGTGTGAATATGGCTTTAGATCAACATGAATTTTTCTTCAAAACCACAAATAGCAGCAAGACAAGTGAGAAATAGATGGCTGTCATAGAAAATTGTATTTCTTTTATGAACTATTGGTGTTAATAGAAAAGATCTGTAATAGTATGATATAAATTAAATTAGGATTGAGTTTCATAGAGGTGGGAGGATGGGGGTTGAATTGCTTCGGGAAATATCCTGTTCTTAATGAACATTACTTCATTTCTTCAGTCTTCTTGTTTTAACCGTGGACTGTTTTTTATTTTCCCAAACAGGCTCCAGCGAACACTGGCAATGTATTTGTGCCGACTGAAGTGGTTATAGCTCTGTGCTATTAATTTATTTTCTTTTGAAGGGTGAGCAAATGTACACTTGTCCCTTGGTTCCTAGTTTTGTTTTATGCTGGCTTTTTGTGTATCTGTCAGGTTGCAAAGGAGTACTGCAAGAAATATGGAAGTGACAAAGTGCGAGTGATATCTTTGGAAAAAAATCGAGGGAAAGGGGGAGCAGTCAGGACGGTAATTAATACTTTCATCTCCTTCTCTGTTTGAAGTACCTGTGCCCAAATATGCAGAAGATAGAGCTGTGCTGACTGACATTTTGAATTCAATGCATTAACAAATGGATCAGGCAAAAACTGAGTACAGATTCTATAAATTAAAGCAAAAATTTTTTTCAAAGTAAGTTTATTTTAGATCTTGGTAGCAGTGTTGTCTTTCCAGAAAGATCAACACCAAAGACTTTTTTTAATACAAGAATTCAAAGTGGAAAAAAAATGCTTGAATCTCATATTCATGTTAGTTCTCATGTTCGAATCATGTTAGTTCATGTTAGAATCTCATATTCATGTTAGAAATAGGTTTGCATTTATAAAAACCAACCAAAAAAAGTAACCCAAAACTGTTACAGATTGAAGTTAAGCTTTTGTAGAAAAAATAGAGCCAAATTGGCAAACTTCACTCTCCAGGTCATGGCTGTGGTTTTTAACATGGCTGATAAACAAGAACTCCTCCAACAAAGTTTATGTTTACTGAAGCCCACTGCTATCACCCACACTAGATAGTCAAAAAAGCACAATTCATGCTTTCACATAGATGTTATTATAAAATGAACATGTTCTAAATATGAAATAGC